GCCAAGATGACCCAATGAGCTTCAGGACTGAGTGGAATTCTGAACTCATGTTTTCCTAATCAACGCCCAAGAAACTCTCTCTGCACTTCCCAGAGCCCTCAGACCTGATCTGTCTCCCCTTTCCATCTTGCACTTTAAATCGCAGGATGAGGGTAAACCGTTCCTTCAAAGTCTTAACTACAAGAATTTTTACCACCACACTTCCTTAAACTATTTCTGGTTCTGGCATAATCGCGATGCTGACTGGACTAAATAAGCAGTTCCGCAAACTTAAGTTTTATCAGTGCCGTTATTATGAGCCTGCAGAAGCAAAAACGACAACAGCCACAAAACAGCACGGTTTCATCAAATCCCATTTTCCCCTCATTCTCTCCCAAATTAATCCTGAGCCTCAAAGGTTAGCCCCAATAGGCGTACGCCTTTTAAATGAGTCCACAGAAGCTATAAGGTCACAGACACACACACACACACACACACAAATCTTATCACTTGCTGCCTCAAACTTGTATCACAGGGCCATCCTAAAACAAAGCAATCCCTTCTAAATTCATCGGTTTACAAAGGCGCAACTCTGTTTAGGATTGCACTGTTAGTTGTTTATAGTATACAGCCAGACTAACAGAGGAAGAGGGGTGCCAAACGCTCTTCTTGTTGTTTTTTTAAAGCTTTCTCGCCTGATCACTTTGAAACAAATTTCACTCACCACAGGCAACCAGGTGAGTGGCTTTTTCCAAGCCTGTTTATACTGATAGACTCCAATGTAGCAGCTGCCATGCACTCTAAATAACAAGTATTAGAAAACTTCCTGACATTACTTTCCCTGCTCAGAGGTTGCCAGCCTCCAGGTGGGGCCTGGAGAGCTCCCGCTTTTACAACTGATCTCCAGCTGACAGCGATCAGCTCCCCTGGTAGGGTTGCCAAGTACCTACCTATGAACCGGCAAGGGACACATGCTTCCCCGCCGGAAGATTCTTGCTTGTAACACCGGCGCTGCACTATTCCGTTACCCAGACGTGACGTAGGCACGTAGCTGGGCGACACTCTGGTAATGGAGCTGGAAACTCAATGGTACCATCGAGTTTCCAGCCCCATTGCTAGAGCGTCGCCCGGCTAGGTGCCTACGTCATGTCTGGGCGACGGAATAGTGCAGCGCCCGTGTTTTCCCTGCGGGAATGGTCCCGTGAAGAACTACATATCCCCTGCCAAATCAAGGTAAGTACTTGGGAGCAGTGTTCCCTCTAAGCTGAGTTAGTGTGAGCTAGCTCACCGTTTTTTAGCCTCCGGCTCACACATCTTTGCCTTAGCTCAGGAAGGAGGGCTCCAGAGCAAACTGATGCAGGAGCCAAATGGCTCGCTCACAACTTCCTGCTCACAAGACTCCACAGCTTAGAGGGAACATTGCTTGGGAGCCCTGTCCCCTGGAGACAATGGCTGCTTTGAAGGGGGGACTCTGTGGCATCGTGCCATGCCGAGGCCCCTCCCCAAACTCCGCCCTCTCCTGGATCCACCCCCAAAGTCTCCAGGTATTTTCCAACCCTGACCTGGTAACCCTAGTTGGAAGGGACCTCCAGGGTCTTTCTCAGATTGAAAACCGCCATTCAGCACGGTGTAGTGGTGGTTAGGAGCAGCAGACTCTAATCTGGAGAACCGGGTTTGATTCCCCACTCCACATGAAGCCTGCTGGGTGACCTTGGGCCAGTCACAGTTCTCTCAGAATTCTCTCAGCCCCACCAGCTTCACAAGGTGCCTGCTGTGGGGAGAGGAAGGGAAGGTGGCTGTAAGCTGCACTGAGACTCCTTACGACAGAGAAAAGCGGGGTATAAAAACAAAGCCTACTTCATTCAAACAGCAAAACTCTGAAACAGTAACCTGTCCCCTAGCGATCTTTGAACTACCCTATATACAAGGACTTGGGGGGCACCCCCCCACCCGCAAACACACCTGAGCCTCAACTTACCTGACGATTCTTCATCCACATTCTCGTACTGGAGCAGGCGATCAAGTAGAAAACTGGAGGGAAGAAACAGGCAGAAGCAGAGATTATACTAACTCCAATCCAGTGCCTCTGTTTCTAAAAAGAGAGCATGGCAAAGCTCACTTCTCTTTGGGAGCTTCCCCAACTACTCTCAAAATCCTGCTCCTCAGTCCTAAATCTGTGAAGGAAAAAGCACTCTGCGCATACTCAGAAACACTTTTTCTTTCTTGTTACTGCACATCACCTTACTCTTCTGGCATCACAGAGATTCCAAGTCTGAGTGCTCGGTAACTTTGGCCCAAACTGAATGCTGTCCCTTCACACCTTAAGGGGGCGTCCCCCACTCAGCCCTCCCCCTCCACTACTGAGTTGCCACCTTTTTTTTCCTGAAAGGACTCCTGCCCTATGGAAACAGCCCTGTTTCCAGCAGAAATGAGACAGGGCTCTTTTCACCAGCGTGAGATGCAATGATGAAGGAAAGGCCAGTTGAATTCTCTCCAGTCATGCGCTTGTTAAGGACAGAGGACGCTTGCCAGGGGGGAAAACCAAACTAAAGCAAAAAAACCTGGCGGCCCTCTTCCGCTCTCCCACCCAGGATTATTCCACAATTTCAGCTCCCACCCCTCCCACCCCTCCAGCCCACCTTTTATCACGTGAAACTTTTAAGAGTTTTCTTTGTGCTTTTCTCAGCTCTTCCTGGAAACATTCCTGTTCCTGTGGAGTTACAACAGAGACTTGGTGAGAGCCAGAAAGCCACCCCACACAGCGGCTCTGTACCAGCCACTGTGCCTCAGGGAGGCAGTTCTGGGGGCAAATAAAAGGCACCAAATTGTCAGTGAAAAGTGCAAAGAGCCTCTTGGGGCACACATAGTAGTAGTAGTCATTAATATAATAAGAATAAGAATAGATAGCCCACACCAACAGGCAGTTAAAAGTGCTTCACAACAATCTTAAAAAGTAGGCCAACGCCATCCCCATTTTACACACAAAAAGCCTCTTTGCAATCCAGTTTAACAAGAGGTTGCACAGATACAAACTTTGGCCTCGGCCAGCCCAATGTTCCCTCTAAGCTGTGGAGTCTTGTGAGCAAAAATTCTACTTTATGAGCTACTGGCATTAATGTTGTGAGCAAGTGATTTGGCTACTGCATAAATTAGTTTGCTCTGGAGCCCATCCCTTCCTGAGCTAAGACAAAAATGTGTGAGCCGGAGGCTAAAAAACTGTGAGCTAGCTCACTCTAACTCAGCTTAGAGGGAACACTGGCCAGCACCCCCTTTAAATTAGGTCTAAGTCTACAAAATCCTGTGAACGCTTTCCAGGGACCCCGTCCCACTGAAGTAGTCCTCTCTCTGCTCCCCTGAGGTCACCAGACTGTCCGGCTCCAGGATTTTCGGATCGACCCCCATATAAACACAAACTCAAATCTGAAGGTGCAACAACAATGGCCCTTGAACACAGAAGAACCAGTAAGTCTAAACTTCCTCATCTCCCCGCAACACAGACCGTGGACCTGATCCAATACAGAGCGGACGGCCCTTGAACCCAAGAGCGCTTGTTATTTCGGGGGCACTTTAAATCTGAAACATTTTAATTCAGCACAGACACACACACACACCCCTTTCCCCGCCACTTAAAGCGCTCCGCTTATTTCTCCCTCCCAGTCTCATCTGCCTCCAAAACATTGGGGCTCCTCCTGCTGTCTTCTCCACCCCATCCCCCCCAAAAAGCCAAACCCTTCCCCTACTCCTCACATAGATCAGGAACTTGAGCCTCCTTTTCAGGGCCCTGTAACGCCTCTTGTAGCCCCCGCCACCAGGATCAGGCTCTCCTGCCCCATTCATGCCCAGCCGGGGAGTAATTTGGGACAGGAACGAGGTGCAAGGAGGACACCAGCTAGAGGGAAAGAACTGCAATTCCCAGAAGGCCCCAGGAAAGAGGCGGGGGGAAGATAGGACACAGCAAAACTACGACTCCCGGCATGCAACAGGAGAAGGGGCGGGCCGAGACGGCCGGTGTCAGCGGGTGACAGCAATCGCAGAGCAGGGCGGTGCAACCTTCGCAACAGCTCAGTCAGCGAAGGCAAATCTCAGCGCCGGTGGTATCCTTGCTAGTCTGTGGCAGCAATTAAAAAGTGTGCAGTTTCTGGTTTTTTCCTTTAATTTTAGCTATTCAGTGATCTGAATCCTGGCGTGATCTGGTGCATGGGGTCGCAAAGAGTCGGACTCGACTGTGCGACTGAACAGCAACAAAATTCAGTGTTCAGAACGCAGGGTGCATATTTCTGACTTACGCAGAACTCTTCCTCAGGCTGCATATTCAGGTTTTCTTTTTTTTTTTTAAGTATGACGTAGCTGACTGACCGTGAGCACGATGGTGGTCAACCCGGTTTATTCGTTGTCTGCAGGAGCTTTTTCAAAACTGGTCAGTCAGCTTCAGCCCCAGCGGAAGAAAAAATTTTGCCCCACAAGCCACCAAATCCTGCCTACGGGCCTGTGCAGAACGCTTTCGGTTTTCAAAATGGGAAGGAATCGTGCCGGGTTGCGTACTTTTTGGCAGGACAACGGGCGCCCAGCTCCCATGCATATAATGAAAAGAGATTCCCTATGGGGTGAATATGTACGTCAATAACTCTCAACGGCCCCCAATTCACCTTGCCATATTAGGAAAACCTTTTCGAACGGCCCTCGCAATCTGAAAAAGTGTGCATGCACACGAAAGTTTACACGCAGAATTAAATTTTGTTGGTCTTAAAAAGTGTCACGGGACCGCCCTCCCAGTCTGGCACCTGCTATATAGTCCCTAAGAACAAAGACTACGTTTCCCATGATTACAAGCAGGTCGCCCGCTCCTTTCCAACGACGACTGCATCTTCATTAAAAAAAACAGAAGCGCGAAAGAGGGCGTAACCGCTCATTCGGAACTACATTTCCCGTCGTGCAGCATGCGTTTGCCGCCCCTTGTCGTGTGGACTACATTTCCTATAAGGTCTTGCGGGGAAGAAGGAAGACGTTAGCCTGGAGGACTCCCATGGCGGGAAATCATGGCAACGCTCGCTGTAGTGGAGCAGGGCATGGAAAGATTCGTCAAGGGTCTCTTCCAGGGGAGTCCTGATCTCAGGTGGGACAGGCCGGACTCCTGGGCTCCCCCTCGAGAGCGTTGGCGGGGACCGGGAAGCGCTGTGCACTGGGACTGTCTGGCTTAATTCGAGGTAGCTGGTGGTGATTCTCCAGGGCAGTGATGAGGCTCAGTGGCTCGTGAACCACATGTGGCTCTTTGGCTTGCCTCCTGTGGCTCTTCTCCGCGCCGTTTCCCAGTGTGGCACCTGCCATATATTCCAGGAAAGTGGCCAGGGTCGTGGCTCAGTAGTGCTTATGGCTGGTAGGCAATCCCCACCTGGAAACGCTGGAGGATGGGTAAATTGCAAGCCTCCCTGAGCTGTGGGCCCTATACCAGGGATGGTCGTTTGGTGTAGTGGTTCAGAGTGCAGACTCGAATCTGGGAGGCCTGGGTTTGGTTCCCCACTCCTCCACATGCAGCTGCTGGTGTGACCCTGGGTCAGTTACAAGTTCTTTCAGACCTGTTCTCTCAAGGGCAGTTCTTGAGAGCGCTTTCTCAGCCCCACCTGCCTCACAAGCTGTCTGTTGTGGGGAGGGAAGGAGACTGTAAGCGGCTCTGAGACTCCCGAGTGAAGGGTGGAGTATAAATCCAACTCTACTTCTTCCATCATCCTCTGCAACCTCTGTGCCGTCATTCCAGCATCTAGGCAGGTGTTGGGAGGAGAGCAAGCTGGCCAAAACCAGGGCGGGGCAGCCAACTGGGGAAAGAGCACACTGGTCAGAAGGGGAGGGTGGAGATCTTATTTAGAGTGAGAAGGCAGAGAGGGAAGGCCTTCCCGTCAGTGTAGACACACCGGGGCTTGCTAAGGTTCAGCATTGGTGGGGAGAGACAGCCCTAACTGCTCAGAGGTGGTAATTTAAAAGGTTGCTGTCAATGTTCCCTCTAAGCTCTGGAGTCTTGTGAGCAAAAATTCTCCTTTGTGAGCGACTGGCATGAAAGTTGTGAGCGAGGGATCTGGCTACTGCGTCAATTAGTTTACTCTGGAGCCATCCTTCCTGAGCAAAGACAAAAATGTGTGAGCTGGAGGCTTAAAAACTATGAGCTAGCTCACACTAACTCAGCTTAGAGGGAACACTGGTTGCTGTTATATATGTAGTGTTAATAGCTGTATCTTATATTATTGTATGTATATATTTGGTGGAGTAGCATACAGGGCATACTTTAATCACATGGCTCTTTTGTGTGTGTGGTAAGTGGTGACTTATAGCGATCCTGTGAATTAATGATCTCCAAAATGGAGGTCATTTAAAAAATGGAGCAGAGGTCCAGCAGTGGCTATGAGCCACAAGGTATTCATGGAACACTCTTGTCTGGGAGAGTTCTTGGTGCCTGGGGGGGGGGGCAAGGGGGGGGGGGCTTCTGGGGTTCTGGACCCACTGGTGGGCCTCCTGATGGCACCAGGGTTTTGACACAGTCTGTTGGGCTGGATGGACCACTGACCTGACCCAGCATGGCTTCCCTTATGTTCTTATGCCCTATCTTTGACAGCCTTGTTCACGTCTTGCAACCTGAGGGCTTCCTTGACCGAGTCAATCCGGCTCGTGTTGAGTGAGTCTCCCTGTTTTCCTACTACCTTCAACTTTTCTTAGCATTGTTGTCTTTTGCCAATGGCTCTTGTCTTCTCGTAATGTGACCAGTGGCTCTTTTGGTTGATGGTGGTTTTGAATGTGGCTGTCTCTGAGCTGCGGAGTCAGTACCACTGAACTGTGGTCTGGCTTAGTCCCCAGATGCATTTGCAGTGGGATGTGGATAGCAGAAATAAAAGGTGGGAGTGCACAGAGTGGTTTTGTCTTGATGTTGAAGGAAACCCCAACCAGGACTCCCCTCATATCAGGGGTTTTGGTGGAGAAGGGCTTTTAGATCAGAAGGTGTGAATTTCAAGGCCTCAGAAATGGGGGGCTCTGCAAGATGGCTGAACAGCTGATAGAGAAGTGCTAAACTCTAAGGAAGGGATCCTGGGATTCCTTTGACCCCCCACCTGAGACGACATCACAAGGCCTACCTTAGCTTCTTGTACTCATTTGATGGTGTAAGATGTGAATAGTCTGCAAATGCCTGCCTTGCTGTTTCGGTCACATTGCAGCACCCTTACTCACGCCATCGTGCGGAAAAAATATCTCACTCACATTGGAAAGGAGACTTTGACCAAAGAGGAGAAAGACCAGCTCAAACGGCTGATAGAGAAAGAACTGCTCCAGATTCAGGTACAAGCAGTGATGCCGGGGGGGGGGGGGGGGGGCTCAGGGAACAGCTTGTGTGGAGAGGAAGGATGGGTCCTGCCATTTGAGGAAGGGGAGACGATCCACATCTTTATTTCACCACCTGGTTGCAGATTGAAGATTCTGGCGACGAAGGGTTATTGACTAAATGGAAGCCTTCAGCCGATTCCGGGGGCCAAAAGAGAACCCTTTGCATCTCGGATAGCTCTGGAGATGAGGTAGAAAGCAGACGTGAGCGGAAGAAGCGGCGAACTGTGAAGGAGTTGGGTAAGTGGTGAGGTTGGGAATGTGAACCCATCCTCTCCTGTGCAAATGCAGTTAGAGGGCTGGCTTCCGTCACTCTTGGCCAACGGTAGATGAGCATTCCTGAAGGGCAGCTATATCTTATTGATCTGATTTGTTTATTAAAGCATTTCTGTCCCACCTGAGCTGGATAGCCCAGGCTGGTCTGATCTTGTCAGCTCTCGGAAGCTAAGTCGGTCTGGCCCTGGCTAGTATCTGGATGGAAGGCCACCAAGGGATACCAGGGTTGTGATGCAGTGTCAGGCAATGGCAAACCACCTCTGAATGTCTCTTGCCTCGTAAACCCTGCCATAATTCAGTTGTGACTTGACGGCACTCTCCCCCACTACCGTTCCACCTTTCCTCCTGGTTCAAGGAGGTTTGTGATAATAGTTATAAACATTTTCAGTTAAAACCAGAATAAAGGAGCAAACCCCAAATCTCTCCCCTTTGCACCCTTAAAAGATGCCTGTCATTCAGAGCCCCCTGGCAAATTACAGTAGATAATGGTGTGAGTACAATACAAAAGCTTGATGCAAATGTTCTTGAACACCGTTTTGGCTACGTTCCTGGAATGTTTTCTCTTCAAGGTGTCTTGATAGAGCTATGAAGGGGAAAAGCGGACTAAAAAGTCTTCGTTTCTCAGGCTCCTAAATAGTATTTATCACTCCTTCGTTTAAAAACGTGTGGATCCAAGGAATACAATAGTGAGAAGACACTAGAGAGACATTGCGTTGATCCACATTATTGCCATTCCTGCAGTTCTCCGTCAAGAGATTGGTGATGAACACCCACAGAGAGATAGAGGCCCCGGTCACACGGAGGATTTGCCACGCCAAAGGCATGAATGTCAGGCAGATTTTCGGGGCGCGATCACACTGCAACATCTGGGAAGCGTAGCGTACCCGTGGCCAACCCGTGGTGTCCCCCCGAAGATGCGCAGTAAAAAAGTACCTCGGATAGTGCACTAGTATCCGGAAAACGTGGGGCAGGGGCGGGCGTCTGATCACGGGAGCGCTAGTATCCCGTGGCATCCGGCGCCCGTCCACGTCCCATCGCAAACCGGATGTTTTTCGTAAGCGCATGTGCACAAACACATAACTGAAAGCAGTGCTGCTGCACGGAACTGCACATCTGCACAAATGCAAAACGCTTGTCGCGCCATACCTTTGCTGCGCTCCAGCATCGCCAGCTAACAGCCTAAGTGTGAAGACTTGGGGGACCGTGTGATCGGGCTACCGCTCTTTATTTTGCTCCGGGGCGAACAGCCACGCCTCCCCTCCCTTCCCCCCCCCGCATTATCTGGCCCATGTGACCGGGGCCAGAGTTGATAAAGATATCCGAAACCGCTTGTTAATCCTAGGAAAGCGTGTTCTCTTTATCTCTTGTATTCCTTGGGTCCACACGTTTTAAACGAAGGGGTGATAAATGCTATTTAGGAGCTTGAGAAATGGGGACTTTTTAGAAGAAGAAGAGAAGAGAGAGAAGAGATTGGATTTATACCCCGCCCTTCACTACCCAAAGGTGTCTCAGAGTGGCTTACAAACTCCTTTTCCTTCCCCTCCCCACAACAGACACCCTGTGAGGTAGGTGGGGCTGAGAGAGCTCTGACAGAAGCTGCTCTTTCGTCAAGAACAGCTGTGCCAGAGTTATGGCTTGTCCAAGGTCATCCAGCAGGTGCAAGTGGAGGAGTGGGGAATCAAACCCGGTTCTCCCAGATTAGAGTCCGCGCACTTAACCACTACACCAAACTTGCTTTTTAGTCTGCTTTTCCACTTCATAGCTCTATCAAGACGCCTTGAAGAGAAAACATTCCAGGAACGTAGCCAAAACTGTTAAGAACATTTGCATCAAGCTTTCGTACATTATCTACTGACTTTGCCTATGTTTATGGCATGTACTTTACCTAAGGGTGATTGTTGTGTAATATAAGAAATTTGCATTATAAACACTATAAAAAGTACAACCAAGTATGTTAAAGTCACAGAACAGTGGTTTTCTTTGGTGAGCTTGTTTTATGTTTCCCATTGTGTTCACACTGAAGCCTATCTTGTTTTTGATACCTTCAACCCCTGGGAAATTAGGCTGGCCTTGGCAACCGCTTCTGAAGATCTCCAGGGAAGGGCCCCTCCGTCACCTCTTCAGGGGGGCTGATTCCACATTCCCGAAGCCACAGTGGAAAAGACTAGGCTCTGGTCGATGCCAGACGGGCCAGGCCACTGGGTGATCGTAGCCGGTGTACAGGGACATACGGAAGGAGATGGTCCTTCAAATACTTTGATTACCGATCTTTCATTGCAAAGTTCGGTCACGTAATGGAGTCCCTCTGCATATCTGAAGGTGCACGGTCTAGTTTTATCTGGCTGTCATGTGTCCCGTGATTCCGTCAGGCACTTCCTTCTGCATACCCAGCCGGTCGGTATAATAAGACAGAGGAGGGGAGGGTCTGTGGCTCAGCATAGAGGGTCTGCTTCGCAGGCAGAAGGTCGCGGGTTCCATCCCCGGCTTCTCCAGGCCGAGGCTTTCAAAGAGCAGGTGCTGAGAAAAACCTTTCTCTGCTGCAGACCTGCAGAAACCTCACGCCACGTGGAGCTAGAGAGACCATCCTTTTTTATTATTAGCATGAGAGAGGCAGAATAATTTGGACACAAAGACAGGAGGCAGATTGCTGCTGGGGGGGGGGAGAAAAGAAGAAGAAGAGATTGGATTTATACCCCGCCCTTCACTTGGAGTCTCAGAGCGGCTTACAAACTCCTTTCCCTTCCCCTCCCCACAACAGATACCCTGTGAGGTGGGTGGGGCTGAGAGAACTCTGCCACAAACTGCTCTTTTTCAAGGACAGCTGTGCCAGAACTTGTGACTGACCCAAGGTCACATCAGCAGGTGCAAGTGGAGGAGTGGGGAATCAAACCCGGTTCCCCCAGATTAGAGTCCGCGCACTTAACCACGACACCAAGCAAATGAGACAAGCAACGGTTCCACTGAAAACTGTCACTTTCTGACAGGGCCGTTTTGTTTCCAACGTGTTTCGAATGTGTATGTTTGGTGGGGGAATGAAAAGCTTCTCTCCCCCCTCACTTAAAAAAAATGGATCACTGAGGTATGGCTGCCTAGTGTGGGCTCTGTAGCCCTGGGAACCGTATCGTAGATGGAATCTCTTTATGTAGAGTTTATAAATCGTTGTCGTTCATCGCCAGCTGAAAAATCAGCAGCTTTGCAGATAGAAGGCTGGATACATGAGCCCGGGAAGCTGCGTTGTACTGAGTCAGACCCCTGGGCCCATCAAGGTCAGTCTTGTCCACTCAGGCTGGCAGCCGCTCCCCAGAGTCTCAGGCTGAGGTCGTTTCACGTCCCCTCCTGCCTGGTTCTCTTAACCGGAGATGCCGGGGATTGAACCTGGGACCTTCTGCATGCCAAGCAGGTGCGCTACCACTGAGCCATGGGGGGAAAAAAGTCTTAAAAAGCTGATCTTCTAACAGTAAGCAGAAGTCTTGCATTGTTAAATCCGAAGTTATTGTCCCCTTTTTAAGGATCCCCATGAGGAGGGTTCCCTTCTTTGAATTAAACCTTGTTGGTCTTAAAGGT